CAATTTTAAACCACCAACAACATCAAAACACAGTGTGTGCATCCCTTGAAGAAGTTGAAGCCACACTGAGGGGAAAAAATCAGGAAACATTGAGAATAAAGTCATAAAACAAAAACATAATTTTAGAAAAGAATAAAGTCTTTAATATTATGAAAATAAAAATTTAATTGTACAAGAAGCTCTAATTTTAGGTTTGTGTGTTGTTTGAGGGGAAATATCAGAAGCTTTAAAATGAGGACGTGGAGCTCATGTGAAGTTCAACTTTAGGTTTCACAGCATCATCATCTTCATCAGGATCATCATCATCATCATCAGGATATTGAAAAGATATTGTGAAGAAACTCCAGTTTATTCTGTTTGTCAGACAAAACAGCAGCCTTGCATGACTTTCATAATATGTCTCACAAATATGTTTTTTCTCTCTCCTAATTACATTTTTAATTCCCATAATATTACGACTTTATTCTCAAAGTTCCAGATCTTTTTCTTCCTCAATGTTCTCCCATCGTAGGAACACATGTCCTTTGTCATGAAGCTGATAGTTTTGAGTGTATTTACATTGAATATTTACTTTATCTTCGCTGCGTTTGCTATTGCACTGATCAACAGGTTGTAGTAGCAGGAACATCTTATGTGAAAATCAATATGAAATAATTTTCAGTGTGTCATTGTGACGTAGTGGAGTGAAACCACACACTGGAGGAGAGCGGTAACCCTCATAAGCCACAGGAATAACACTTTTGGGTCCTCAGGAAATCAACGTGTCCTCTAAAAGATGGAGACGTCTCTCCCTGAAATTTCTTTTTTCTCTCTCTTGTCCGAGACAAAGGAAGAACGAGCGAGAGAAGACGCTGCTGGAACAACTCAGTGTTGGACCGGTAGAAAGTCCAGATGCACCTGCACCTGGCACATCGGATCTGTGGACGAGAAAGCAGATATGGTCACATAAAATGAACCGTCAATAACACAACAGAGTTAGAGGAACAACTTCTTCCCCCCTCTGGCCGGTGGGATGTAATGCAACCCATTCGTGCAAAATAGCCACTTCCCCATGTACACTTTCACTTCTTACAATGTGCTCATGCTTCACATTTACTTCTTATTTAAATACAGTCCCCTTATGTTAGACTTCATTTTATTCCTTACCATGCAATAATCAAAATGAACATCATTAAGAAAGAAATAATTCTCATGAACATTTCAGTGACTATAATGAGCTTGTGCTCATCAGTACCTGTGACGTCAGAGTTGTACCAGGTACTGCTCCCCTACTAAACCGGTTGAATTTGAAGCGATACTCTCAGTTCTGAATTCTCCTCTGTCAGGTCAGTGAATTCTCAGAGTGGGAGCGTCCTCTCTTCTGCTTTCAAGGAACCCTGAACACGACCTGGTACTGGGAGTTCTTCCACAAAGGTCCACAGGTCGTATGTAACGCTGCGGCTTGATCATTTACTGAACCAGAATTTAGATATGATAGATTGATAACTGTTGTAAGTGCAAAGAAATGTCGACTGAAAGAGCCTTTAAAGCACAAGATGCTTCTGTCAGTGTAAGTCACTCTGTTGCAATGAAGAACCAATGGACAACCTGGAAAATGAAATATTTTTTTTGATCATCACTATTCAAGTTTTCAGTTAGGGTTGTATTGCTGTGGACAGCGTTGTAGAAAGAAAGATGAAATCATGGTGGTGTATAAAAAAAATTCAACGAGTGCTAATGTTACTGGAAGACTGTGGATTAAAACTCACACACTGAAGGAGAGGGTAATCCTCGTGTCCTTTTACAGCACAGGCATAAACTGTTTTCACCATAAAAAGTATGCTGGAAAAAGAATGTGCATCTTTCTGAATATTCTTTCCACTCTCGTACCAGATGTAAGGACGGATGATCAGGTAGAGGACAACTGCTGTGACACGTGAGACGTGACATGTAAGGGATAAGTTTGCACCCTTTTGATTCGCTCATCCTTCACCTGTAAACCTGGATTCATAAAGAAACAGCATTGTTTTAGACAGAACTGTCAACAGAATAAATGATAATAAGATTTTACAAAGATTCAGGGTTTAACTTATGTAGTTTCCCAACAGATATGTTACCTGTGACAGACAAAGTGACTCCAGGTTCACCTGTATATTTCCCTCCTGGTTGGTTTGTAAGAACCTGAACTTGTACTCAAGCTGAGTCGCTCTCTCTCAGGTCTGTGATTCTTCAGAGTGCAGTCGTTCTCCCCACAGTGGATACTGAACACGACCTGAATATCTGAGTCTGCTCTCAGATCCACAGGGTTCATTCCACTGAATCTAGTGAACCAGAAGGTTTTTTCTCAGCAGCAGTATCATGGTCATTCATACCTGGTGGGGATCTGTAGCTGCAGCGTATTTCCACTGTTGAATCCTTTTTAAAGGCGCAAGATGTGAGAGCGAGGGTAAACCACTCCCCAGTCAATTGTGACCCTGTATAACTGAACACAGAGCAGCAGAGACACAGATCTATAACAACATCAGACAACAGGCTCGAATATATGAGGGGGGGGGGGGGGGGTTTGGCCGAGGACCCACAAATGTTGAACCAATAGATTCAGTTTGCTACCTGGGTGCTAACATCCATCTTATCTTTCAGTGTTCTGAAAGACTCTGGAGAACAGGTCCACTCTGTAAATCCAGAAGCTTTTGAAGACGCATCATTAACAATGCTTCTCTGAAGTTTCGTCCATTTTCAG